TCTCCACAAAAAAGGGAGATCAGCAGGTCAGCACAGAGTTGTTTCCCCTGTACTCCTCTGGATGGAAACAAACGTTTTGTGGTTCTGTTTATAGAAACTACATCCTGTTATATCGCACAATCAAACGTAAATTCGCGAGATATCGTGTGTCCTCGTGACTTCAGCTGTCAGTCATGGCTGCAGCCGTTCCGCAACAAATCCGTATCTGGTAGGTATTGAAGGACGGCGGAGCACGGATCCGACACGCAGCGGAGTCGATCCGCAGCCGTTCTGCAGTTGGTGGAAATCCGGGGTAAGGATCACATCAGCTAGAAATACCAAGGGTTCACTCTAAGCATAGAGTCTGCTTTTAGCTATTATGTCAGCCGCAGCTGGAACCAGCTTCCAGAGGAGATCAGATTGGCTCCTACAGTAGTCACATTCAAATCCAGACTCAAAACACATCTGTTTAGCTGTGCATTTACTGAATGAGCACTGTGCCACTGTTCGTCCGACTGTTTTTACTGTACTTTATTTTATTTTTTTATTCTAAACTCTTTTAATTATTCTTATTTATTTTGATTACTTTAATTTCTCCTATGTAAAGCACTTTGAATTACATTACCATTGTGTATGAAATGTGCTATATAAATAAACTTGCCTTGCCTTGCCTACTTTAAATCACTTGTGACAAAATGACGAACTAAAAGACGTAAATTACATTTGTATGTATTTGAAATTGTGTGTATTTGAAATAAAAGATATAGATTGTACTGAATGTCATCTTGCTTATTTTGCTCAAGGTAGGATTTATTAAGTCCACATGTCATGCAAACAAGAAACTTGTCACATGTCTGTCCGGTCTTGTGTTGCACATGGGTGTTTGTTATGTTGAGCCATGTGCTCTCGTCATTGTTTGACCCCTCCCTCTTGTTATCTGATTATTGGTTTATTTGCTCCACCTGTCTGTCTCGTTACCCTCCTTGTTTGCCTCCCTATTTAGTCTTCCTGTGTTTGCTGTCCTGTGCTCGTTCGTTGTTTTTGTTACGTTGTGCCTTGCCTTGCCTTGCCTTGCCTTGCCTTGCCTTGCCTTGCCTTGCCTTGCCTTGCCTTGCCTTGCCTTGCCCTGCCCTGCCCTGCCCTGCCCTGCCCTGCCCTGCCCTGCCCTATGTAGTTTTGGTTTGTTTATTTTATGTTTTTGTCTTCATTAAACACTTCTTTCGCTCTGCACTGGAATCCACGGAATTATTCCCACACGCATCGTGACAAAACTCTGCTTCTGACCACAGCTGTAGTTCCAACCACAGAACTTTGCGATGCTGTTTGCAAATGTTCATTGGAACTATAGTTTCGGGAATCACCGACTCATTGAACTATGCTGATAACGACGGAACTTGCGACCATAGTTGGCTAACGATGCTTTCGGGAAACGCACCCCAGGATGAGTTACACATCGAAATGTAATAATTACAGTTAGTAATATATTCAGTAATCTGTCAGTTCAGATTCCTAAACCCAAGTATGAGTAACAGTAATAATAATAGTTGTCTAGCAAATACTAATAATTGTGGTTAGCGAGAAAAGGAGAGAGGTTAAAGCGAGTGACAAAAAAGCAGACATGGGAAGACAGCGATGGGATGGGCGGCTTAAGTTAGCCGGGTCAGAATTATTTACTGCCTTGCGCTGGCCTAATCAGCTTCAATCAAACAGAGCTTTAAATGCTCTCTGATCCAGCATATCACAATAAAACACACTTTTCTCTCTTCTATGTGACTTTTTCAATATATTCCCTAGCTTCCTCTTGTCTTGGGTGATCTTTCACTTGCTGATAGTCAACTAAACAGTTGTACAAGTTCATATTTTAGTGGAAATCTTGTAATCGCATAATTGTTTGATAAATAGAAAGTTCAGGAGAAAAGCATTTATTTGAAATAGAAATCTTTTGTATTATTATAAATGTTGTAAGACTTGAGAAATGATAAAATGCGGAGCAGTCTGGTTGAGGAACGACCACTCCCTGTGAAGACAGGATGTTTCAGGTCAGGATATTAACATTTGAACTCTCTCTTGTGAAATTAGCATCACCATTCGAGATGCTCAGTAACATCCTAATCTACATCTCCTTCCCTTGACCCCCTCTTCCCCCGTCCCTTCTCCCTCTCATGCTGAGATCACCAAAATTCACCCAAAAATCGATATTGTTTAATGTGAACAATTATCATACAACACTATACATGTCTGTTATCATTTGAAATGTCTCAGTCCGACTGGTACAATGGTCTCATCCCCAAAGAAGTAAACCAAAAGGTAATAAAGTTTTTAAGAGTTTAGAGATATTGCTTACAGAGGAGGGTGGGTCTTTCATGCAAATAGCATCCTCCCCTCAAAAGGTGTAAACTCTGGAGACAGTGATTAATGCAAATTCCCATTGTTAGTATACGTTTAGGTTTCTTTCTTGGTCTAAGTATTTAAAGAAATGTCTCAAGAGGCTCAGGGCGATTTGTAGTTCAGATCAGCCCATGAAGCTGAATGTCCTCAAGACACTAAGCATCATGCATTTTTCTCATGTCAGGTAGCTTATAGATCTCACAGCATTTGATGTTATTGTATTGATTATCTTTGAATTGATTATGTAATTGGCATGATACAAATCAATGTAATTTGGCAATGTAAATTGTTACATTTGGATTTATTCTGACTTACTCTGAAATTATTAACTTTAGTAGATTACGTTGTATCGATTGTTACCGCAAAGCTGCGTCAGATTAGTAACGGACTAACGTCCAGTTTTGAGTGGAGCATAGGGCACACCAAATGCGAGTTATAAGTACCGGCTAATATTTGGCACTAATTCAATTGTACTTGGGATATAAAGACAAAAAGAGAATTTTTTAGGACAGCAAAATGTTGCTCGACCAACCTAAATAGGGTGAGTCTTACCTCTGTTTAATGTAATGTTACTCTAGTTAAGTGTACGTGGGAAACCATGGCATGACCAAACCAAAGCTACTATCAGAGAAGTAATATTGGTCGGCTTATATCTGTAGTTAGGCTAGTGGCCATGACCTCTGATTGAAGTAAACGTTACTTTAATTCAAGAGTATACATATCCATGGGGGGCTATACAAAAATATATTTGATTGAGTAAGCGTGAATGCCTCTGTTTAGTGACCAAAAACTGTTATTATAATATTAACGGCCGGGTGATGACCCTGTGCTACTTTGGCACCCGAATGAACGAGGATAATAAGAGTAAAGAGTTAAATAGAATAATCAAATGTGTTGCTAAACTATTATATAAATGATCACTAACTAACTGGCATTCTAACCTAAATTCGAGGTCGTGATAAAATGGAGTCAGATTAAAGTTTAATTTGAATTAAATTACTTTGCCACGATGAAAAGACAGTAACATGCAGTAAACCTTCACCCACTTATCGGAAACTGTCGTTGGACCTATTGGGCAGGCCTTAATGTCTTTGCTGTCACTTTTGATCAATTTAATGTGTTCTTGCTAAATAAAAGTATTAATTTCTTTAAAGAATGTTACTGATCCCAAACATTTGAATGGTAGTGTAGAAGTGAACAAGAATTATTCATTCACCTAAAAAGATTTATTAAAAACAATAGTTCACAACTAAAATGCCCAGGTGACATACTGTTGAGGAGTGATTGTGTATTAGCTGATATCGCTTCCCACGATTTGGACTCGGGAGCCAGCGGCTTTGAGTGTCCCCCGATGCACAAGGCTCATTCTAGCGTGTCTAACCTGACACAAGTATACGAGACAAAAAGAGAATGAACGGGAGAGAGAGAAAGAGAAAGGCAGGCAAGAGAGCATGGACAGATATCTGACGCTTTGATTTGCACCAGCTGAAATCACAGCTGTCATGCTGTTAAACAGATTATTTTTCCCTCCTCTGCAGACCTGCGAGTGATGAGCTGAGAGACAGAGAGGAAGATATGTCGAGAGGTAGAGAAAGCAAGACTGATAAACTGAGCTAGCTAGCTGAGCTGATCTGAGCTGAGCTGAGAGATTGAGGAGAGCGCCGTTGGACGCATTCCCTGCACTCCCGTATGCGGCAACCCACGGTAATCTCTTTATGAAACCTCAGCCGTGTGTGCTGGCACAGAAAGCTCAGGAATCAGCTCGGCTTTAATTACGGGCGCGAGCCAATAAATCATGCCATTGCTGAGGGTTAGCGCGACTATTCTACAGCCATGTCATTGATGTCCCGTTGGCCGTAACGCCGTGTCCGAAGGGTTGGGGGACGCTCTCTGTAAATAATCGTTTAGTCATGGCAAAGATATAACATCAGACAGGCTCAACATTTTATAATCTGGACTAAGTCTGCACACAGAAGAAAATGAAAGAGTAGAGCTGAAGGTTTTATTGTACTCAGACTGTTTTCTAGTGTATGACAAGGGCCTAGATGTGGTAAATAGACCATAGGAAACGATTATGATTGATACCTTCACTTGAAGGGATAGTTTACCAAATCAAATGAAAATTATGTCTTATCGTCATGTATTCCAAACCAGTTTGAGTTTGGAGCACACAAAAAAAAGAAATGTTCTTGTCCATTCAATAGAAGCAGACAGTGACCAGGGGCTTTCAAACTTAAAACAGGATGAAAAAGCACCATAAAAGTAGTTTGTGCATTGTGCATTATATTATTATAAGAGAGTCATTGGAAATATTGCACTTAAATCTCATTTGGGATTCCGGTTCTTCAAACTTTGGGGTCAGAAGTACGATTTTTATTTATTTATTTTTAAAGAAATTAATTTAGCAAGGATGAATTAAATTGATCAAACGTGACAGAAAATATATTTTCAAATTAATGCTGTTCTTTTGAACTTTCTATTCATCAAAGACTCCTGAAAAAAATGTATCATGGTTTCCACAAAAAATATGAAGTCACAGAATAAAGTTGTTCTTCGCAGCCCCTTTTTCATTCACATCAAATTAAATCTCTACACACATGTCTATTGTTGTACAAGTAATGAAGACTATTTACCTGAGAAGCACAGCCTCTGTGATGACATTCTGCCATGGCATGGTGTGAATCCACGAGGCGTGCTACTGATGGGTCCACCGTTCACCAGCGCAGTGACTAGCCCCTCATCTGCGTGATGCTGGAGACTGCTGCTGGATCTCCAGGACCCCTGCCCTGCAACTACAGTACCAAGAAAATGATACACGAAAACAAACAGCAAGACAAGATTCATCATGTACTGCAGTCTTAAAGGTGAACAACGATCAGAACATACAGTTTACAAGAAGGCCAATGTGTTACTGTACATCACAACACAACAAATGTTCACCCTGAATGTGTAACCTTCAACATTAGAAGACAAAGAGGACCACATTCAAACAAACACAAAAGATGGAAAGGATTTTTGTGCCAGCAAATATAAGTTGGCTCTTTTTTTGCAAAACACACACACACACACACCGTTCGTGTGCACACTATGCAACAGCTATCTGACCTCTGCATTCACTTCTCTTTGTCACCATCAACTAAGCTTAAGGTAAATATTAGGTTACACTTTATTTACGATAGTCTACTTTAGACATAACTGTTAGGAACTTTGCAACTACATGTCAACTAACTCTTATTAATTTGCAAAAACTCATAACTCTCATTAGAGTATTAGTAGACTGTTAGGTTAGGGTTAGTAGAATAAGTTGACAAGCACTTGCAAAGTGAATTATAGGATCTACTAATACTCTAATGACTGGTAGTTGAATATAGTTGCAAAGTAGATTGTGGACTATCGAAATCATAGTGGACTATCGACTATCAAATATTAGCAAATATTATGCGTAATATTTAATCTCATAGTTCATAATTAACTTTCACAATACCAGCTGATTGAAAATACTCTGCCTCATTTTCTTGGAACGTTTGGATCCTAAAGAAGAAGAAAAAAAGAAATATAGCCTATAATGCCTAAAGAAAAAGAAGCTATTTAGGTCCATTAAGATTTGTTGCATTGTAGCATTATTTTCACATTTATTTTAAAGTACATTTTCCTTCTAAATTTTTTTTTTTTTTTTTGCATTACAGTAATGAGAATTTTATGGGACAGTGTGCTCAATTGTCAAAAAAATTATATTTTTGGTATAGTAATTGGATAGTAATGACTCAAGTGTTACTACTTAGGGGACTAATCTAACTTGGGATTCAAGGACACAATAGAAAACTCCTTGTGAGCTTTTAACCATCAACCTATTGGTTACCACCTTGAGCTTTAGCTGGAAAACCACATGGCCCAACACACACCCAACAGTATGACTGCAGACAGTGACTGTTTGAAGGTTAAACATGTGTGCCTTCTATTGCCATCTTAAACGCCCGCTGTAATTAAGCCTTTTTCCAACTGACTGGCCAGTGCTCCTGTCAGTGCACGTCAGGGATTACAGATGCACAGACAGGCCGATAAAAACGACTCGACTGTGACAGAGAAGAAAAAAAAAGATGAGAAAAGGAAAAGACTTTGCTGGAAAATGATGAAGACACTCATCAGCCAATGAAAACAGAGATGACAGATACGGAACTGAAACAGGGACTTTTATTAACCTTGAAGCTCAATGAACCAAACATATGCTTAATTTTTTTACGGTATATTAGATAAAAACTGTCTTTTGCATATTTATATTCTGCCAACCCAATACAAATACATCATTTGTTTTCTAATAATTGAGATAAGACATTTGGAATGTGGCTCTTACGTGGTTCCAACAATAATATATGACCACACTTATAAACCACAGCCATCTCTCTTAACAGAGCATTCTGTGCAGCGAGTGTTATTTAAATACCTAATTATTCCATACTTAGATGGATTGGCCATTGAAGAGAGCTGCTAGCTTAAAGATGAGTATAAAATATGCCTCTTTTTTACACATTCATTATTTCCTGGAATTATCCTTTAGCTCCTGAGAGTAAATGTGCTACCTTGGCGAAGCCATTAGCCTGACTGTAAACACTAATATTTATCTTTAAACAGCTTAATTTAAAGCCTTTATTAATATGCTAATTAGCCCCACCTCCACTCACTCACGGCAGCTGAGAGATTCACTTGGGCCAACTCTCGATACATGCTGCACAGTGGTACCGCTCTTTACAATGTCGGACACATAACCGTAATTAATATGATTAGCCTTTTGCTTGACTATGTTATCAAACAGCTAATAATGTGTTGCTATGCTTACGTTACACAAAGAATGTTCCCATTCGCCATCTTAGAGTCAGACAACCGCCTTCTAACAATCATCAGAAACGCTTTGAACAACTCAGAACGTCAGTGGAGAAAGGCATATAGTTGATCATATCATCGTAATATACGGTACATCATACACCCGCCATATTGCTAAATTTACCCGATTTTTTCAGATCACTAGAAAAATATACCAGAATAACCTGGCATCTTTTGAGACTCACCTGCTTCGCAGTAGTAAATGATATGCTAAAGCCCGTTGGCACAATGACGTGATTGGTTACAAGGTAGTTTGTGACGTCAGAAAAAACAGCGATTTCAAACCGCATTGTTTAGACTGTCTATAGATCTAGATCTGAAGATCACTTCAGTTTTAAAGAGAAAATATTCAGCAATGGTGTTGACAATCTGTGCATGGTTTGTCTTAAAGCATGTTAAAAACACCACATAGACATATAAACAACATTAAAAACTTGATTTTCACCACAGGAGGATTTTAACTAACACCCAGGGCCCTATTTTAACGATCTAAGTGCATTGTCTAAAGCGCAGGGCGCAATTGCACTTAGGGCGTGTCCAAATCCACTTTTGCTAATTTAACGACGAGAAAAATGGTCGGCGCGCGCGTCACATGGTCTAAAAGGGTTGTCCCTATTCTGTTAATGAGTAATTGGTGTGTTTTGGGCGTAACGTGAAATAAACCAACCAGAGTCTCATCTCCCATTCCCTTTAAAAGCCAGTTGCGCTCGCACCATGGCGGATTGCTATTTATATGACGGAATTTGCGGAAAGACTGAACGAGTCTCCAGAGAGAAACTCTACAGGACAAGCCGGATTCCACTATATCTTTATGTTCACAATAATAATCTTTTACATTGTTATCCTTTAATTTTTAATATTTGGCTAGTTTGTGTGCTGCTGCGCGTCCCTGTGTGTGTAATAAGCAGAGTGTATGCGTGTGTTGGACCCGCCTATAGGCCCACATTACTAACGCGCTCTTTAAATAACAAAAAAACACAAATAACAAAAAACACTCACTATCTAAAAACACTTGCGTCGTGCTTGGCGCTGCATTGCGCCGGGTGTATGATAGGGCCCCTAGTATTCGATTTGCGGTAAGTATTGTTTAAGAAGCATGATTTGGAGTGTGTACACTACTGTTCAAAAGCTTTTTCTTTCTTTATTCAGCAAGGAGGCGTTCAATTAATGAGTAATTCGACTTTGCCATCACATGAATAAATTACTTTTTAAATATATTAAAATAGAAAAAAGTTATATTTCACAATATTGCTGCTTTTATTGCATTTTTTGCTCAAATAAAGCCTTGGTTAGCATAAGAGACTTACCTTACCGGCCCCAAACTTTTGAACATTAGTGCATATTTTTAAGATTACATCTGATCCATTATGAAGGTTCAGACTTCTGTGTGAAGTTGTTAATCACTGGTCTGGGTCAGATCATGGGGTATCTTAACTCGAGAGAGCGCTGTCTTTATGAAAATTCATGTTCAGTGTACTCTTGTGCTCCTGTGAAAAAGGAGATAATCTGCTGTGAGTTCAGCTCTTCTTCGTGGCTTTATACAGAATTATGTGCTGTTTGCACAGTAAAACTTGACTATACTGAACCTTACCGAAGGGAAGACAATGTTTTGTGTCTCTACGAATGCTATTAAGAGTAGAGGCATCTTGACCCAACCGTCTCAGGTGTACTGCGCACAAAAATGTCAAGAGCTTCTGCAAAATGGGAAGCTCCAAGCTGATTGACTGACTTTATATAATTTCACATTTTAAAAGGGCTGTATCTTGCATTCTAATCCTCAGCAATATGTTGCTTTGTTTTGCCAGAACAGAGCTTTTGTTTTGTTTCTGTACATACCAAGAGAAATCTCCATGTAGTTCTGCTCTTCTGTAGGGTTTTGAGCTGGAGCTGGACTGTGTTGCAGGACTCCAGGGTACAGCCCCAGCGTGAAGAACCCTTCCAGGTCTTGGTATTGCCCTGACTGGATTTGCTCTCGCTGGGATACAGAATGGAAGGAAGAAAAATAGTCAGAAAGTCATTACTCATAAATGGGTCAATGGTGTGGCACTTACTTATTTACAGACCTATTAATGTATTCAGAAATGTATAAAAATGCAATTCATACAGACAATGACATGTTTCAATTTCATCATTCAAATTCATTTAATATTTCTGAGGCTTAAAGTAAAAAAAAAATCTGGATGGTAATCACTGCATGATCCCCGTTGTCAATAATTGTCTCCCTTAAAACTCATATGATCAACAATATTATATATTTAAACGTTTTTCCCTGTGAAAAAACATTCTTAATGCCTTAAAATAGCTTGAATGTAACTCCACACCCTTGCTTCATTTAGTATACGTGGAGCCATGAATATGCAAATTAGCCACGCCTCCTCTCACACCAGCTCAGAGATCCACTCGGTCAACTTGTAGTAAACGCTGCACAATGCTATCACTCTTTACAATGTCGGACACATAATGGTAATTAATATGATTAGCCTTTTGCTTGACTACGTTATCAAACAGCATAGAACGTCAGTGGAGAAAGGCATATAGTTCATCATAACATCATATACATAATTCACCAGCTATATTGCTAAATGTAACGTTAGGTTACGTATGTTACACTCGTTCCCTGAAGGAGGTAACGGAGACATCACGTCGGATGACCGACAAATAGGAATCTCGCAAGAGAGGCCAATCTACTTCGAGTGTAAATAAGGGTACGTTTACACGACAACAATATGCTTAAAACGGAGACGTTTTTCCTTTGAGTTTTCTGCATACAGACGACGTCATTGTCAAAACAATACCCATTTACACAGATCCGTGAGAACGACTAAAAACGCTGTATTCTGCTGCCATGTGTATGACGTCATCGTCTTCAGAGATTCGCCGTTCTCAAAAACGTGCACTTTGAAACCCGTTTTCCAAATTTTGCGTTTTCAGGCACCCAAAATGCCGTTGTCGTGTAAACGAACGGCCAAAACGCATTATAAACGCACATATAATGAGCACCAGGTGCAACGCATTCTTTAGGTTTTCGCAGAGGAGCCGAGCCGGTGACCTGGCTGACGGGACGTGAATGTGGTGACGGGACGTGACGTCTCCATTCCCTACTTCAGGGAACGAGGGTTACATACTTAACCGAGACGTTCCCTTTCATTCAGTCACTCTCTACGTCTGGTCGGCTGACCGATGAATAGGAATCCCTTACCAAAGCGCCACAGCTGCTGACCCCATCCAGCGCCCTATGTAAACTTCCTACACCCTCTGGGAGTTACATGAAGATTGCATGAAGAAATTGTGGCAACGTCTCCAAGACACTTGAATAAACATACCTCCAAAGCTACAGTACTATGAAAAGTTTTAGGCACTTGTGTAAAAATGCTGCAAAGTGATGATGCTTTCAAAATTAATGCCAGGAACAGATTTATCAATTTACTTCTATTAACTAAATCAAATCAATATTTGTTGTGACCGCCCTTTGCGTATAAAACAGCCTTTGTCCTAGGTACACTTGCGCATAGTTTTTCAGGTAGATTTGCAAAGTTTTCAGTTTTCAGTTTGTGTATATATATATATATATACACACACACACACAAACTGAAAACTGAAAGAAAATGAGAAACAATTGTGTTTTTATTGAGTCCTTTAAACGGAAAATGAGATAGTGGAGAAAAGAATCAGCGGGTGGTAGTTAAGAACAAATGTTCTGATCTTCAGACAAAAGAGCAGCGATAAAGACACTTTCTGATCAGACATTTAATTTCAGGTGTTTACTATAATACATTTTTCTTTGCTCTCTCTTTCTTTTACACCATTAAACTCTGATAGTCCATTTGCGGCAGACTTGATGGCTCTGTTTCCTCTCGTCCCTCATCAACTGAGTGGATATGAGAGTGGTCGGTGCTTGTTCTTGCTATTATCTCTCACACAGCTTGCAATTAAATTACACAGGAGTAATATCTAATTGATTGAGTCTTTGGTATCCGATAGTTTCCAGCAAAACTATTCGATATGAACAACAGAATTATGTGTATAGTTCTCATACTCTCTCTCTATAAAGGCCAATTCACACTGCATCCGACAGACGTACATAGATGTACATGACATTTCATAAGAGACTTCTTTCAACAAAAAAAAATATATATATATCTTTACCAACCACAACCTTTTGAACTGTAGTCTTTTAACTGTTTTAAATAGTTTTGAAGGTAACCTGTTACAAGTAACTGAGGTTCACCTGTGAAAATCCTGTAACCAGAACTGGCTCTGTGCTGCCGTGCTCTGACTTTGAGAGGCTTGGGAAAGAGAAATGAGGGTCTGTTGGAGGGGTAGTGGTGGAACACGGATTGGAAACGTTCTTTTGTTCTTCTGAAACTATGATTCGTTTCAGTTCTTCATCAGATGAGTCTTCCTCACTGGGCATCAGGCAATCATCTTCACATGTCATTTCCTCTTCGGAATCTGATCAGTGACAAATAGTGAGAGAGGAGAAACCATGAGGACAGGAGGAGACAGAGAAGAGACGTTCCGGCAGGAGGCCGGCAGTGAGGATGCAAACATGTGCCCTTATCTAATGCTCGCAGCAAGCCGCCTGGACATGGTCTAGCAGAGCTTGTGTGTTTCTCTTCCCTGCTTCCCGTCTCCTGCCTCCTGCATTAATAATGCTTATCCTACACAGCTTGAAGTTTCCATCACTCTGCTAGTCAGCAAATACTGCAGAAACAAGCACTGTGTGAATGAAGGGTGATGTCTACACACTGGTGTTTTCTCATAATCATTACTCTCTGATGCAGATGTACTGGACCCCAAGGGATGCTGGAAATCAGGTTCTTGTCATTTATAAAGAATTTTTCAATGTTTATTGAATATTTGATTCAGCTTGGTCAATCATGGATTTAACTTTAAAACATTTTATACAATAAAATATCTGATTTCCTTCAAAGCTGTGCTAGTTTCATGTCTCTCTTATCACGCCACGCTCTCCTTATTCTTAGCAACTGAACTCAAGCTTTTAAAACTACTTTAAAACTTTTCAACTAGTTTAAAACATCTCATGCTAGCATCAAAGTTGTTCTTGATTAACTTTTTTGATCTAGTTACTGAATTTGAAATTAAAAATTTGAAATTATTAATCAAATTATTTATTATACAGTGGTGTCATTTATCATATTGTTGCAGCCAGCATTTTATAAAAGCAATAAGCATTATGTTTGTTACAGTGATTTTGCAATCGTTAAATAGTAAAGGCCTTCACATTCTGTCTAAAAATCACTAGAGCATGCACATTCAAAAGCTTATTGCTTTTAAAAGTATTGAAATCACTAATAATTACATAGGAAAACATTCTTCATTGCTCACAAACACATTTGCAGGAGAATTATAAACAGTGGCTAAAGCACAAGAAAAACTAAACTGCAATTAGACTTTGCTATTTTCAATGTTGTCAACTTTAATAAAAATCTACCAGTAGAAGTTATACTAACCTGACATGTTCAGCTGTAGGGAGAGCACTGTAGTTTTGGGTGACCTTCGTGAGCCCTTTAACCATTTGGAGGGCAGGGTTGAATGGTGCCCATCAGTATGAAAGGATTCAACCCCTGGTGCAGAGGACATGATGGACTCATGGACACACCTAGTAGGTGTACCACTATCTAGACTATCTGAGACTAAAGCAAACTGTGATGATTCTCGAAGTAACTGCCTTAATGAAGGAATTGCAGTAATTGGGGAAGTGATGGCACTTTCTGGAGACAGTTGAGTTAATTTCGTTTCAGAATCTGGTGTTGAATGAGCAGGTCTAGATTGGATTGGGTTGACTGGAGAGGATACAGGTCTAGACCTTGGGGAAGGAGAGTCTGGAGGTTTTGGGCTTTGTTTAGGGATGAGAATAAATGCAGGAGAATGACATTGAGAAGACCTGGCAGATGGTTCTCCAGGAGGAGAGGGGCTGACAATGGAAATATAGTCCTCAAAGTTTGAAAAAGTTTGATTCAATTTGGTTTTTGGAAGTGAAGGAGATGACATTGGTAGTAGCTCTAAGGGTTTGTCCTGCTGTGCTGTAGAAAACCTTGTCTGTGGACTTGGTTTTGGAGAGTCACTCATTTTTACTTTCTGGCCTCCTCTTCGTGAAATCGACAGAAATGGTTCTGAGGTAGTCGAAAGGTGCTGTGATCTCTGAAGCATCATTTGAAGTGGAGAATAGCTTTCTGATCTTTCCAATGATGACGTAAATCTTTCAGTCTCTTGTGACGACGGCCACATCTCATGAGAAGAATTCATATTTATCTCAGAATTACTTTCCCAGAACAATCCTTTGGTCATCGCGGAGAACGATGGTGTGGAAGTCAAAACTGAACATCCAAATTCTCCTCCTCCAGATAAATCTTCATTTTCAACAGCCGCAAACCTTTTGGAAGAAAAACAGACATGCATATATAGCATCTATCTAGTCTGAAACCTACTGCCACAGTTAGCAGCCTTATTTTAAGTCTAGTTGTGGCTGATAAAAATGTCAATATGACTCTGATTTAAGAAAAAACAACTTCTTCAATCATATTCTTGCTTCAAGACGACACTCCTACTGTGAACTTTTCTGTCGTTTCCTTTTTGTTTCTTACATTTTGCTCTTATTTCCCTGCTTGACTTCAAAGGACCTGTATGTTACAGAGTCTCCATCCATCTGGAAAAATTAAAGCAACAACAACAACAAAATGACAGGAGAAATGGAAAAGACAGAATGAAGTGTATGGAAACAGCAATGAGGAGTCATTCGCTGGCCATCGTCTAGCAGTCCATTACAAAGACTGGGGTGGTGGAGCTCATAATTACCTCATCTAACTCTACGATGCTCAAACAGGATTCTGCAGGGCTGTCCACTTTCCTAGCATCCTCAGCGAGACCAATTGCGAAGAGAGAGTTCAAGTATTTGTGCAACTCTATCCGCTCTGCTGCAAATCAGAGGCAGTAAAACAGATTTATGTTCAAATAAATTAAATCAGTTCAATAATCAGAATGGCCTTATTGCTGTAAATGTGTGTATTTATTCATAATACAGAGTGACAGATAACCAGCTAAGAACACATGACTTTGTGAAGATTCATGAACCAGTTTTCAATGGGGGAGTAGGGCAGGACTTGATTTTATTAATCAGGACTTGATTGGATAGTGTAAAATAGGCATTTCATATCAGAATATCTATCATTATTTACTATTACTGCAGAAAACCATTACATTAAATTTTATACATGTTACATTTCTGCATTATATTGGAGTCTATTTGAGTATTATTTGTCTATGCCCTGTGAAACGTTTCCCTATATCTTTTCTGAATAAATACAGTACGATAATAAATCTGTATGAAATTCATATTGCTTACAGAAAAAGTAATTGTTTTCATAATATTTCTTCAAAATACACAACCATTCAAAGGTTTGGAATCAGTGAGATGACATTTTAAAAAATTCAAATTAAAAAAAACAATTATTTTAAACTGTAATAATATTTTCACAATATTACTCTTTTTATTATCAAAAAATGTTGTTAAAAAACTGTATAAATACAAATAAATGCAGCCTTGGTAAGCATAAGAGACTCCTTTCAAAAACATTAGAAGATCGTACTGATTTTAAACGTATAATCAACTGTCCACCTTTGACAATGTTTTTTTTTTCTGATTATGTAAAACAAGGCAGCAAGAGGGGGAAAAACATTAGAAACCAATTACTTAATGATCTTCTCAAAATTCTTGCCATATATTATAAACTGCATATTATTTTGCAGTCAGAAAAATGTCCCATTACAGAAGTGAAATGCTTTGCAAATGTCATTTTATGTCTTTAAATGTAGGGTGCGTCAAGACAAGCTGTCAGCAGACTAAACAGGTGACCAGCTATTCAAACCCAAATCAGACGAAAGCCCATAATAACGCCTTTGCATTTGAACAAGTGAAGTGACTGAAAAGTGTTTTGGGGCGTGAGCATCAGGGATGTGGGCTTTAGAAAAGATGCGTCAGGCTCGGGCTGGTGCAGATGAAGAGAGACGGCGCTCATCACAGGGGCTGTTTGGGAAAAGCTGAAGGTGGTCAGATCTTTGACAGCTGTGATCAACTGGCCTCCCAGCAGCACCTAGAAACTTCTCTCAATCAGCTGTCGGAGTGCTCTGTCAGATGATCGCCCTCCCTCCAGTGTAATAAGAGCTGTGTGATTACCCTTCAGGGACACAGTGATGGATCCGAGCTGCCGGCTGTGAGAAGAGAGCTGCCCTCCGCACTGACTCTCACAGCTCATTTCTTCAACTTTTTGGAGAAAGTGCAGTTATATGGGTCTTTGTGAATCGAACCTGCTGGCATGTGCATGACCAGTAACCCACTACTCATCACTCTTCGTCCAAACCAGATACGATATGACATGTTTCCAGCCACAAATTGCATATATAGTTTTTAAACTCACACAAAAGCACAATTGCACAATTAATCATTATTAAGTGCTTGCCAGAAAAAAAAAGAAGAAAAAAAAAGTGTGTGTGTGTGTGATGAAACGGGTCACACCTGTCAGTTGTCGGCTCAGTTCATCCGTCTCTGCAGGTGAAGGTGTGGGTGGCTCTGGCTGGAATTGGACGACAGACCGAGGCTGAAATTCTTCGATTTGTCCTCTGAGGGAGAGAAAATAATGCTGTTCCCAGTAAATCACACTCAGAAATTTTAAGATAATTAATCAGTCTCCCTTTCCTCAACGGTGCAACTATAAACAACATTTCAGTGCAGCACAGCACTTTATTAATAGCTTTATGCAGCTATGAAAAAAATGTCGCCAATAGGGAAAAATATTATCAACCAATAATGCAATAGCCTGACATGTTTCACTTCTTTTCAATTTCCATGATCAAATCCATTCCTGATGTATAAAATCAAGCCCAGCCCTTCATTATTTTTTTAAACTATATATATAACTACACATTTTGAAAAACAGCTAGTTGGGAGGCTCTCTGGTTAAGTAGTCACCTTATCAGTGTTATACAGTCTGTAAAATTAGGCCAGTATTGGATCATCTTCTCCAAATAGAGTTTGTTAGTGAATTATATTGACACTAAACACCCTTCAATAGAGTAACTTATGACATACTATGATTTATGAATATTAAAAATATTAAATAATTGTCTTAATATTTTCTTGATTCCAGTATAAATAAACATCCTTGAAATGAAATAAATTTTGATAAGATATGAGGTCTGAACTTATAGCATATACTACTAATAATTTGAATAATAACTATGATAACAGTAAAATTACCTTAAATTTAACATGAACACATTGTTTTAAGGATTGAAACCACTATTAAACAATATACTGTACAGTGCACACTACCATTCAAAAGTTGGGGGTCGGTAAGATTTTTAAATGTCTCTTATGCTCACCAAGGCTGCATTTATTTGATAAAAAATACAGTAAAAACAGTAATATTGTGAAATATTATAACAATTTAACCTCCTGAGACCCGAGAGTTTGCCTGGTGTGCATTTTATAATTGTTCTTGCTATTTGGGATAAGTAGGACCTAATAAATATAATAACTAAAATTTGTTTTTGTACAGGAAGTAGTTTTTGCAGAAAATGATGTCCTCATGTGAGGACAGTGGGTCTATGATTTACCATATGATGTCCTCGTGTGAGGACACAGTACTAGCAATAAAAAAAAAAACTTGTGGTTGTAAAATGGTTGTAATTCAAGAATGCTTTGGAATATAGACATATGGTTGGTCTTGTTTTTAAGACATTATGCCAGATTATTGTAGAAGTGAAATAAATTATGAATGTGAAACAGAAAAAAAGTTATATAAGTTTGAGTTTATGAAAATATAGAATGTAAAAATATAATTATTTATATTTTATATAAAATATATATATTATAAAATATATTTTACTCTAAAACTGCTAGAGAATTAAAGCCAAAAATCTAAACAAGTTGTGTTCCAAATTTTAGGTTGATATCTCAAAAAATGAGCTTTCAGTAAGATTTTATTTGGGCGTAGTACCAAACTTTTTCACTTAAGACAACCAGCTTCCTTACTGACCATATAAGGGTGTCTCCATTTTCATATGTTTTGAGTGATCTGAACCATGTCTTTCCATAATTTCATACAATTTATTAGTACATCCTATTCAGAAATAGTATGGGTGTTTTGGCAGTATTTGATTTGATTTCAACCTCTAATAAACATAAAAAGAGCACATATGTGCGTTATAGCTCGCTGCCGCATCACAAATCGAGAATTCACAATATTTTTCTTTATATTCTAAACATTTTCAGACCTTTTTTTCTCATAACATTTAATTAGTGTTATCTTTTGAACTCTTGGCATGAAAACAAACTGAGGTTTCTACCAATCTTTCATGATTTTTCATGTTTTTTTTCTATTTCAAAATAAAGGCCTAAACACGCCTAATGAATATGAAATATTCTTGTTGCAAATTGATAAATTACTGCTATTCTGTAATTTATTTTAAAAAACAGCCACCAAATATGAAAACTAGAGATTGTAAGCTTTCAAATGATATTTAGTTTGTCAATATCACTTTAGGTTTTTACTAAGATATTATTGTTCTAAATATATATGGGCAAACGTCCCACGTGGGACGGTGACAGTTAAGGGGATAACGTAATATAGTCCCAATGTCCTCAAACGAGTACTTCATATTTACTGATGTCCTAGAGTGCTACTATTACTAAAATATGTCAAATTTTAATCCCCATATGATGATAGAGACAGTATTGTACATAAATACATTTGTTTCATTCATATAATTTGAATAGATTTTTTACCTGGGTCATTTTTCTTTCGGGAACTGGTGTAGAAGTGTTAAGGTGATGATACACAGGGCAACTTTTTGAGCAATGTTGCAGGGCAATCTTGCCGAGCGATTGTTGCTTGGGCACTTTGCCATTGAAAATGGGCAATACATTTCTATCTGGATCATTTAGATGGGTCGTGGGCCTTGTGTCTCATCTGGTTGCCCGCTGATGGCAACATTGCCCAGCAACATTGCTCAAAAAGTTGCCCTGTGTATCATCACCTTTAGGGTTAGGGTTAGGGTCATTTTCTTCTCACTGACATTGGTGTAATGTTATGATATCACTACAAGATGGTGTGGGCAGTGCCCCTAAATGTGGCCAACATGTCTAAGATTTACAAATTTGACTATCATTGTGTCAAGAGGCAAAAATGTAATGTCCTCATATGAGGCCGCAGGGTCTCAGGAGGTTTTAAAATAACTATTTTGTATTTTAATAATTTTTAGCTGAACTTTCAGCAGCAATTACATCAATTGTCCAGAAATTACATTTCGTATTATTATCAATGTTGAAAACTGTTTTTGCCGTTTAATACAAAGTTTAATACAAATGTCATAAAACTCTAGATGGTGCAGGGCAGGCTGATAGATCCTTAACTTAATTTGCTAGCGATCACATCGTTATCTAAATAGCGCAGCTGATTGGTTGCTGTTGCATCAGCAGCCAATGAACTTGCTGCTCAACATTCAAATACTTGTCATTGTTTGCTGTTAGTCTGCAGCGCGCTTTCAAAAAAGCATCTGAAATCAACAGCTCTATATCTCTGTGCATATTGTGTGGTCTGCTAGTAATTGCTAAATGAGCAATCATAACAAGTTATCTATATATGCACTCACACTTGTACTCGTATCACATCACATTATGAAAGTTAAATGTGAATGCAACAAAGCATCCAAACAGTGTATGCATACAAGGAAAGCGACATCATTTAAATCCGATAACAAATTAAACCAGCTGAAGGAAGTTGATGACCCAGACTTCCTGTTAGTAAAAATCTCAGCTCAGCCAGATTCCCCTGAACCACAGGTTTAGTCCTTTAAACCTTTTCTTTCCTTTTACCGGTGATTTACCATACAAACGCATTAGCGAAAAAGCCAAAAAAGCTCTGTCTTCCCAAACAAGTCTCTCTCTCTCTCTCTCTCTCTCTCTCTCTCTCTCTCTCTCTCGTTGTGCTCTTGTTTCCTTTCCTGAAGCCAACTCTTGCTGCCTCAGCAGCACAACCTGCTTTCCTCATTGTGTGTGTGTGCGTGTGTGTTTGTGAGCGTATGAAGGGATTAGACTCCCCTATCACACACTCCATTCCTCCAGAGTGTGTGCTGCAGCCCTGGGCCACACGTCTGCCCTCCTCCCACAGAACCCGAACACACACACACGCTCGCTCGCTTGAAAAATCCAGCTTCCTGTTCTGTGATTCTTCACACACCAGGCCTCAAAAGAAGGCAATTTAATGGATTCACAATTAGACCCTTCTTGAATAGCCGACCTAAATACCACCGCTGCCACAGATACCATAACACTCCAGAAGCTCGAGATGCGGTTCAAAGCGCTTAGGAGGGTTTACAGATACTGTGTTTGAGTGTTTTGCGTGCTTTTGTCAGGCTTTCTCATTTCGTAGGCGAGCATCGCAATCTTTCGGGGGGGCGGTGGGGGGGGGGGGGGACAACAACTTGTGCTGCCTACATAGGTAGTAGTCTTCAAAAGCACCCTAACTGAAACGGAATCTTGTGTAAATTTTAGTATTATTTGTCTTTTAATATTTGGAATGAGCTTTTATTTTTATATTTTATATTTTAATTTGAATTTTAGTACATTTTGATGCGCTTTTGTCATTTTGTATTATTTTTTTAATATTTCAATTTAGCGTAATTTTTTTTTTTTTTTTTTTTTTTTGTAGTTTTAGTACTTCAACTAAGGTACCTTTTTCTAAGTTTACGTATTTCATCTAATATTTATATTTTATTTCTGCTTTATTTAAATATGTTTCAATTACACTAAAATTACGTTCCTCTCTCACTTCGCTCTTTTTGAATTATTATTTCATTGAGCTAGTCGCAATGCATTCTGGAATTGCATTCTCTATGAATGCTGCCTTAGAATACCAAAATAAGCTGTCTTAGAAGGCATTTGAAACAGCGTTCATGTAAACAGTGTGCCTATGATGCATTAAAATGGTCCCTAAAGTACATGTGCAGCTTACTAGTTTTTGTAACAGTGATGGTGTGTGTGTTTAAGGATCATTTTATAAAGTTAAACAATACCACAAAACTGCTTTGGGGCTGATTAGCTCAATAAAATCCAACGAATCTGTGGTGGAGCAACTTAAAGGTGAGGCTGTGTAATTAGCAGCCATAAGTCATTAACTGATCTTAAAGGACCTTAATTGGGGCCTGGGAAGGTAAATGAAGCTTGTAATGCTATTATTCAATTGGTGTCTGTTTGGTTATAAAGTGTGAAGTGTCAGGTGCTAACCTGCGGTGTTTTTTCAGGAGGAGTTTCTCCATGTAGCTCAGAGTGTCCTCCTTGAACTCTACATGAATTGACTGATGGGATCCTTTTTCTGTTTGTGTTTCCATCACAGACACTAGAAGGAAAAAGACACCAATCAGATCTTGAGTCTGAACTGTGTGCATACAGGATAATAATGCAGTACATATAACCCGATTACACACTACCATCCAGAGCTTAAAGCAAACCACTAAAGAATTTATATTAAACACAGACACATGAAAAAAAAAAGCGGTCTGGTGCAGAATTCAAGAAGTACTATTGACATAATTCTGTCTTTGTTTTGAGAGTTCTTTTGCTGTATTGTGAGGATATAAAGGCGGGTTAGACTTCAGTGCATTTGAAAGCCCCTTAACACAGCAGTCATTATCACCATGAGCACAAGCCAAGCAGCACTGCAGTGGGTGAGACTCCTGCTAGCCAAGTACAGAAAAGAAAAGTGAGAGAGAGGAATAAACGCAATGAGTCTGACACAAGATAAGGAGTAACTTTAGTTTGCTGCAGTATGATCTGACCATTAAGTTTAAAGGAATGTAGGAACAGTTGTCCTATTCAGTTTATAAAATATTTGTTAGGAGCACGTTCAATTAACAGATGCTGCAGAGACACACCACCCACGTTATTGTCCCGGTTCATGTGAAATACAATTATTTTGATTACAAATTGCATGTGTGTAAGATGACTGACTGCTACAAATATTATTCATTGTGACTATTTCGTTAAAGCCACCTCATCATGTTTCTGTCACAGTTATGTTCAGTTTTAGTTTCACAGACTTTTAATTTGTATTCATTGGTTTCTGTTATCCTTTGTTCTAAGTTTCCATCAGTATTTTGTTGTCTCATCATTATTGAGTTATTCAGTTCAGCTGTGTGCACCTTATTATCTTTGGTATATAGTTCCTGTGGTTTCTCTTTGAGTTTGTCTGGTCACGTTTGCGTTTATGCTCATGGTGTGTGTTACTACCCGTTTGGATTATTATTAAACTTTGCGTTGGAACTTCATTCAGCTACCTCTTTATCTGTCTGCTACACCCCTCTGTAACAGTTTCAGTTCTCTGGTTTACCATTTTAAATAATAATTTGCTACTAATCATATGTATGTGCAGTTGCTATATATATATATATATATATATATATATATATATATATATATATATATATATATACACTCACCTAAAGGATTATTAGGAACACCATACTAATACTGTGTTTGACCCCATTTCACCTTCAGAACTGCCTTAATTCTATGTGGCATTGATTCAACAAGGTGCTGAAAGCATTCTTTAGAAATGTTGGCCCATATTGATAGGATAGCATCTTGCAGTTGATGGAGATTTGTGGGATGCATATCCAGGGCACGAAGCTCCCGTTCCACCACATTCCCAAAGATGCTCTATTGGGTTGAGATCTGGTGACTGTGGGGGCCATTTTAGTACAGTGAACTCATTGTCATGTTCAAGAAACCAATTTGAAATGATTTGAGCTTTGTGACATGGTGCATTATCCTGCTGGAAGTAGCCATCAGAGGATGGGTACATGGTGGCCATAAAGGGATGGACATGGTCAGAAACAATGCTCAGGTAGGCCGTGGCATTTAAACGATGCCCAATTGGCACTAAGGGGCCTAAAATGTGCCAAGAAAACATCCCCCACACCATTACACCACCACCACCAGCCTGCACAGTGGTAACAAGGCATGATGGATCCATGTTCTCATTCTGTTTACGCCAAATTCTGACTCTACCATCTGAATGTCTCAACAGAAATCGAGACTCATCAGACCAGGCAACATTTTTCCAGTCTTCAACTGTCCAAGTTTGGTGAATCCCAGTAACTGAGCAGATTATGAAATACTCAGACCGGCCCATCTGGCACCAACAACCATGACACGCTCAAAATTGCTTAAATCACCTTTCTTTCCCATTCTGACATTCAGTTTGGAGATCAGGAGATTGTCTTGACCAGGACCACACCCCTAAATGCATTGAAGCAACTGCCATGTGATTGGTTGATTAGATAATTGCATTAATGAGAAATTGAACAGGTGTTCCTAATAATCCTTTAGGTGAGTACTGTATATATATATATTAGGGGTGGAGCCGAACCCGAATACGGTATTCGGAAAGGTACAAATAACGTGTTTTTTACGAATAGTTATTTCGAACAAATACTTAAAAAAAATATTTGTATTCGGGAACAAGAAAAACTTTATATCAAAAAGCTGCGTTTCCACACGAGACCGCAGTGCATGCACGGATGAGTGAGTGAGTGAGTGACGTTCAGGAAGAGGTGACTGAAACAGGCTGCTCCACACAGCAACAGAGAGGGCTCGGCTGAGCGAAAAAACACTTAACTGCATCACCATTTTTAGATTTTTGTACCTTAACTGGGTTCCGGAGGCAGTTTATAACTTTCGGGAAGCGGAGTTTGATCGGGAGATTATTCCATTACGCTGCATTATTGACGTCTGCAGTCGGGTGCTCTCATGTTCGCTCTGTTTACGTACGTTCGGTTAAAAAGGTTAAAAAATGCTTCTGTAGTTGTGTCGAATTGTATGCACTTGTGGGAGTTATATGGTACGCAGACATCCCAAGTCTCTATTGATAGCGGCTCCCTGAAATTAGTTCAAATCTCCCGGAATCTAACGCGCATGCGAGACAGAACATACTGTGCTCCAAACCGTGTAGCGCGCGCACGGAAGAGAGCTGAGCGAGAGACCTTGCTTGTGTGCGTTATGAAAGCTAGTCACCCCCCGTCACCAATCCAGTCAACTCCAAACTAGATTTTTAGGCCTATTTTGAATTTTACTCGAATACGAATACTTCGAAAAATACTTTTCCCCCCTCAACAAATACAAATACAGATACAAATACCAGCTGCTTTGCACACCCCTAATATATATATATATATATATATATATATACAGTGGGGAGAACAAGTATTTGATACACTGCCGATTTTGCAGGTTTTCCCACTTACAAAGCATGTAGAAGTCTGAAATTGTTATCATAGGTACTCTTCAACTGTGAGTGACGGAATCAAAAAAAAAAATCCAGAAAATCGCATTGTATGATTTTTAAGTAATTCATTTGCATTTTATTGCATGACATAAGTATTTGATACATCAGAAAAGCAGACCTTAATATTTGGTACAGAAACCTTTGTTTGAAATTACAGAGTTCATACGTTTCCTGTAGTTCTTGACCAGGTTTGCACACACTGCAAAAGAGATTTTGGCCCACTCCTCCATACAGACCTTCTCCAGATCCTTCAGATTTCGGGGCTGTCGCTGGGCAATACGGACTTTCAGCTCCCTCCAAAGATTTTCTTTTGGGTTCAGGTCTGGAGAATGGCTAGACCACTCCAGGACCTTGAGATGCTTCTTACGGAGCCACTCCTTAGTTGCCCTGGCTTTGTGTTTCGAGTCGTTGTCATGCTGGAAGACCCAGCCATGACCCATATTCAATGCTCTTACTGAGGGAAGGTCTCACGATACATGGCCCCATCCATCCTCCCCTCAATACGGTGCAGTCGTCCTGTCCCTTTGCAGAAAAGCATCCCCAAAGAATGATGTTTCCACCTCCATGCTTCACCGTTGGGATGGTGTTCTTGGGGTTGTACTCATCCTTCTTCTTCCTCCAAACACGGCGAGTGGAGTTTAGACCAAAAAGCTCTATTTTTTTCTCATCAGACCACATGACCTTCTCCCATTCCTCCTCTGGATCATCCAGATGGTCATTGGCAAACTTCAGACGGGCCTGTACATGCGCTGCCTTGAGCAGGGGGACGTTGCGTGCGCTGCAGGATTTTAATCCATGACGGCGCAGTGTGTTACTAATGGTTTTCTTTGAGACTGTGGTCCCAGCTCTCTTCAGGTCATTGACCAGGTCCTGCCGTGTAGTTCTGGGCTGATTCCTCATCTTCCTCATGATCATTGATGCCCCACGAGATGAGATCTTGCATAGAGCCCCAGACCGAGGGAGATTGACCGTCATCTTGAACTTCTTCCATTTTCTAATGATTGCGCCAACTGTTGTTGCCTTCTCACAAAGCTGCTTGCCTATTGGCATGTAGCCCATCCCAGCCTTGTTCAGGTCTACAATTTTATCTGATGCCCTTACACAGCTCTCTGGTCTTGACCATTTTGGAGAGGTTGGAGTCTGTTTAATTGAGTGTGTGGACAGGTGTCTTTTATACAGGTAACGGGTTCAAACAGGTGCAGTTAATACAGGTAATGAGTGGAGAACAGGAGGGCTTCATAAAGAGAAACTAACAGGTCTATGAGAGCCGGAATTCTTACTGGTTGGTAGGTGATCAAATACTTATGTCATGCAATAAAATGCAAATGAATTACTTAAAAATCATACAATGTGATTTTCTGGATTTTTGTTTTAGATTCCATCACTCACAGTTGAAGTACCTATACCTATGATAAAACCTATGATAAAAATTACAGACTTCTACATGCTTTGTAAGTGGGAAAACCTGCAAAATCGGCAGTGTATCAAATACTTGTTCTCCCCACTGTATATATATATATATATATGATCCATAATAATAATAATAAAAATAGAATCAATATTTTTGAACAAAAAAAATAAGTCTGTGAACTTTCTGGCAAATCTGCCAGTAATTAAATGCAAGTTGGCTGAAAATTATATTTTTGCAAGGGTAAATATGCAAAGTGGTGAGGTTGTGGCATTTATTAGTGCACAAAGGGCACCGATTTATATATTCTTAAACCATAGCAGGCAGTAAGCAGTATATATAGGCTAGTATTTTAATTCATACAGAGCTGAAAAAGTAAGAGGAGTCAAGTGCATGGAAACTTCACGTCTGCCTTCATTTAGCAACAAAAACGTCTCGGTTACTGATGTAACCCTCGTTCCCCGAAGGAGGGAACGGGAGACGTGACGTCGACGTGACGACGTTAGGGGATCACTTCAGGGAGCCTTATCAACTTCGAGTATCTAAGAACGCGTCACGCGCCCCCGCCCCGCAGCGCGGGTATAAAACAGGAAGCGGGCGCGAGCACCCACCGTTTTTCACTGAGGAGCCGAGTTTAATGACGGCC